GAGGAGGAGGAGGAGGAGGAAGAAGAGGGAGGAGGAGGCGGAGGAGGAAGAGGATGAGGAGGAAGAGGAGGAGGAGGAGGCGGGAGGAGGAGGAGGAGGGAGGAGGGAGGCATAGGAGAAGGGCAGTAGGGGGAGGGTGAAGGGGAGGTCGGTCGATCGGTCGGTTGCTCACCATGTGATCCCAGTCCGAGCTCAAGTATAGCACAGGCGCGGATCGGCGTGCGCAGTCAGAAGCACGATGCCCCCCCGCATTGTCAAAAGCTTGGGGACGCCTTCCTCGAAGCCCAAACCGGGGGCACCAGGGCCAGCTGGGTCGGACGGCCAGCTATTTGAATGGACCCCTCGTGCCCTCAAGCAGGAGCGCAAAGAAAGGAGAGGAGGAGCCGGGGGGCGCGCTCGCTCCACCCGCATCGGAGCCAGCACCCCACAAGGACAAGCGAGAACGGCGGACGACGACGACGACGACGACGACGACGACGACGACGACGACGACGACGACGACGAAGAGAAGGGCACCCGCGGAGACGGAGGGGGAGAGGAGCCAGAGAGGCCACGGAGCAGGAGAGCCACAGGAGAGCAGGGGAGAGACATGACGACGAGGGAGCGCAGCAGCGCAGAGAGCAGGGAGGGGGCGCTGGCATCCTCACCCTTCGAAGCCTAAGGGGACGCGATGGCAAACAGTGCGTGAACGCCCCGCAACGCTGAAAGAAATGAGCATAAAAAAGAGGGGGAGGGCGGCACGATCCCCGCCCAGATCTACGTCTGCGACGCGTCTTGAAATCGTATTGCGGAACTCTCACCAACGCTCATGCTCGGCCTAATTAGGCTGATCGGGATCGGCCCTACTCACCCTCACTGCTTCGTGCCGCACAGCGTTTTCTCTAACGAGTTCTGGCGTACGTGTCGGCGGTTGGGGGGGGAGGACGAAGTGACCCCTACCGGGCACGTGGTTTCAGATTCGTTTCGTGTCGCGCGTGCGGGCGACGGCGAAGCGTCGCGAACGCGACGATGTGCCGTCGTAGTTAGGCCAGGGCGCGGTTTCGGTCTGGCCTCGTCTCGTCCCTGTCGTCCCCGTCCTCGTCTTGTCCCTGTCGTCGTCCTCGTCGTCGTCGTCGCTGTTGACGTCGGAGCCGTCGCGCCGACAAACGCGACGATGTGCTGGCAAGTTTCTCCTCTGGCCGCGCGGTTCCTCGCCGTCGTGGTCCCACGGTGGTCCCGTGTGTGTCCCGGGGGGGGTGTCCCGTGGTCGTAACGTGGGTTGTTTTGTGGGTAGTTGTCCCGCTGGTTTTAGGTCGGGCATGTCCCTCGACAGGAGGAAGATTCAAGAATAGTCAAAAAGTAGTCGGGTGACAATGTCTCGTGGTTTTGACTATGTTTGACAGTTTGGGTGACTCTGTTTTACTATTATTCCAAAGTTCGCCTGTAGGAGGACTTGCCCGACCTAACGCTGTTTGTCTTGCCGATGTCCAATGAAGTGTCCCAGAGTTGTCCCGTGGGGTGTGATGTGTGTGTGTGTGTGTGAATGTGACCCGTCGGCTGTAATGACATCGCAAACCATGTGCAAGCCAAAAATCCAAGTGGCCAATCGACATGTAAATCAGCATGCCCATCGAAATGCAAAACGAATGGCATCTGTCCATATATATATATGTGGATTGAAAGATGTAGATGTGTATGTATGTGTGTGAATAGATGTACATACACATATATAAACACATGTGCGAGCCCGAGTGCAGTCGAAATTCGAACCAAATAAGTATGTTGTTACTAAAGCGAATGCAAATCGGAGTGCACATTCAATTACTATCGGGTTGCAAGTCTTGATGATCATCATAGTTCAAAGTGGAATGCAAATGCGCATGAAAATATGAATTCCAGCCAGCATGTCAACATGCATGCACATCGACCCATAGTCCAAGTGCAATCGGAATGCTGATCGAAACCTACGGTCCGGTCAGAAGCCGTGCATATGTAAGACGCGTTGGCAGCTGCAGGATCATTATTGGGCCCATGCTTGGCGGAACGCCTGCAGGCAGGAAGGCAAAACGCCCCTCGACTGTGAAGCAGAACAACACTTCACAGGAGGAGAAGGAAGGAGGGCAGGGGACACAAGAAATCGTATATTCAGATGTTCCGGTGCAAGCACTGATTTCGCCCATTGTTGTCGCGGGCGACCTCTGCCGCGGCGGCGTGCCCAAATTTTTGGGGTGCCATCCGGGTTGCACACGGGGCGCCTTATCAGAGAGTCGGCCGGCTGATTCACAAAACGGCTAATCAAAATACAATCGACATGTACGTCTAAATGCAAGTCCAAATTCCGTCAAAATCGATATAAAAGCACAAGTTCCTCAACCCCTTGAAGGGCGGTCTGTGAGGTATGCTTGCGGTGTGTAGTTGTGTGTATAATGTCGTGTGTATGTGCGTAGTTCGTCTTGAATGGCGGGTCCTGGAGTTTTTGGGGGTGCCTAGAGGGTTCTGGCGTTGGGGTTCTGGGGTGGGAGGTGTCCTGTATCAGCGATCTTGTGCACAACTACGAGGCAGTCACAGGGGGGCGAACGGGGATCGTTCACCCTTCCCCTCGACTCCCTCTCTTCTTCTCCTTCTCCTTCCCCCCTCCCCTCCCGTCCTCCTCTTCTCTTTCCTCACGTCTCCCCTTTCTCCCCCCCATCGGCTCCGTCATCGACTTCCAACCTGAGTAAGAAGGTTGCCTGACCGCACAAGGAGATGAATGGACGCGTGGTGAACGGCATATTGGTGATGGGCCTTCGCGTGGGCGACCACCGACGATGCTCTTTCGGGGCGAGGCGCGCGATTACAAGGGAAGCAGGAAGAGGATCAGCCACGCGCAGAGGGGGGCGGGAGGGGGGAGGGCTTCGGGCTTCTTAGAAGCCCTCCCCCCTCCCTCCACCCCCTTGTGTGCGCCAGCAAGAGGAGGAAGGCGTATGTCGCGCTTTTGAATTCACCCCTCTCGCCGCAGTGTGACATCTCGCCCCTTCTGGCTCGACCCTCCCCCTCCTGCCCCTCTCATTCCCCTCCCGTCCATGCCCTTTTTTCCAAACCCCCCTCCCCGCTCACCCCACTCTCCAGCTTCCGTTTCCCTCCTCCCCTCTCTTCGCCTTTTTGCGCATCATTCAATTTCCGAATTCGCTTTTGGAGCTGTCTTGGACCAGTGAGGGTCACATCGTGGCTTGACTAGCACTCAGTCCGATGGGCTGGCGGATACCGAGATTCATACGGCCCCCCGCAGTACGCGTTCGCAATCCAGATGATGTGAGGCCTTGGGCGGCCACATCCTGCGCGGTAAGGTTGAGGCTATGTTGCCCGATCCCAGAGGCATGTCTCACAGGACGGGAGACGTACTCCAGGCATGGTTCCTCATTTGCTCACATCGGGCGCAACTAGATGCGCTGCACCCCGGCATCGCTTTAACGTAGCGGGCCGTGCCCGCTGTTGCTTGCAAGACAAACAGCTTCGAATCACGCGCGACGCAATGGAAAGCGTAGTGGCTTATGCCCGCTCCCAGATGGCGAGGACGACGCCAGGTACGTTCCAGAATGCGTGGCTCCTATGCGCGAACACATCCGAGAAATGTAACCCGTCATGTTCTGATCCCCCGATAGGCTTGGGGGGCACAAAAGCCCGGGGGCACTTCAGGAAGTCACACGCTGGACGTGATCATGTCGCTAGATCGATTTCTCAGTGCAAGATGTTTGGTGCCACATGTCTTCCATATCAAGTGTACTCCCCCGCGCCGAGGACCCAGAGTTGATGAGGAATGGTATCGATATGTTCGGACCGCCTTGCCGTGCAGCCAAGAGTTGCGCACTGCGTGGTGGGTGGCGAACCCCCCCTGCCGTGAGAGAATCGCAGAACATGCACGAGAAATAGCCAAGCGATTTATGGTCAGGATGTGTGTCTTAGCGTACCGCTCTGCGGATTCTGGCACGCCACATTTCGGCGCGAGACGCTAACCACGTCTTAATTCCCAATCGCAAACGTCCCGAGCCGTTCCCAGATTCCCGTCCCGCGGAGTTGAGCGACTATCAGTTTGCAGGAAATAGCCTGTCGACGGTGTCGCAGCGTCGACACACTAAGCAACAGTTTCTGACCGTAGATGTTGCTGCCTGAACGGGGGAATCGGATTCAGTCCACTTGGTTAGAAGACCGATGGTTCTTGCACGGTCCTTTTACGCTGCCGTGGCACACACAGCAGCGCGCGTCGCAAGTCCATGTCACAAGAAAGAGTGCCGGATTCGCCACCACGTCGTCTTTGGATGAACGTTGGTCTTTCGCGCCATGTCTTACAGCATTGTTTCAATGTGCGTATATACCAATGGGATTATGAGTGGGATGGATGTGAAGGGGACCATTGTTAGAACAAAGCCCGCTCAAGTAGATTTACGATTCGACGAGTGCTTCCTGAAAAGACCGAAGTAAAGTTCGTTAGATCGCAATGCTAAGCAGTTATGATGTTCTGCGGCGTTGCATGTAACTCGATAAGCGAGGAACGCGCCATGATGTTGGATCGGACTCGTAGCAATAACCCAGTAGCCAGTGTTGCCAGGCAGCACAACATCTGTTGGTTCGCTTCGAATATGCGGATGGTGCGGCCGTGGAGCGACCACCATAAACATAGTGTTGTGGTCGCCTTGCATTTGACTCCAACGGGCCTCCAGACTCATGATCTCCGAAGCTTCCCACCAACATTCCTCATGCCCCTCCGCTGGGTCCGCCGAGGCTCGCTCACTGCATTGGAGGCGGAGCCGCAAGAGGGCCGAAGATGCTCCCAGAGGCCCCCCCGAGCACTGCCCTTCGCGCAGTGAAGAAACAGCGATCCCGGCTCGCCGGCGATACGATCTATTCCATCTTTGTAGTAGCTCGAGCTCGGCACCTGTCAGAGGAGGAAAAGACACCGATGACGCGACCCTTTTTTTGTCGCCACAGTTGGTCGGGCGGGTGCTAGTGAGGGGTGACCCAAATTGGAGGTGAAGAAAAGGACCCTAAAGAGGCCCCTTCAGGGCTGAAGCCAACTAGTGCCAAAAGAGGGCCCCAAAGGGCCTCGTCAGGGCCCTCTTCTTCACCCCCCGTTTGGGCTGCCCCCTGTCAGGTCCGACCGCCCCCGTGGAGATGCCCGTGGAGCAGCGGTGTCGGGGCGGCGCTTCGCCTCCCCCCCCCCCCAGCAGGGCTCGTTTCGAATCCTCCGATTCGATTCGATTCGACTCCGATGGATTCCGATTCCGATTCGATTCGATTTCGGATTCCGATTTGGGCTCCGATTTCTTATTGGACACATACTAGCCTGCCGATTTCCGCCGATTCGACTTTTCCCGACTCGGCTGCCGATGTCTGCCGGTCCGACTCATTTCGATCGCCGATCCGACTCATCGATTCGATTCTGGGCTCCCCTGCCCCAGTCTGCGGCCCGTGTTCGGGCCCCAGAAGAAAAAAGTTCTGAGACGCTGATGGAGCTCAGCTGCCTCGGTACGCCCGTTGTGATACGTCACGCGTGCCGTGCTCAAGACGTCCGTGCCGATACCTTGGGCGTTGGCTCCACGTCTTGGCCCACGTCCTGGCGGACGGATCGCACCCGACCTACGTGCCCAGTCTACGTGCTGAGCTCCGCATCGATGCGTCACGTGTTGCATGTTGCGCATCGGGGCAGCCAAGTAAATTAGTGTCTGGGGCCGCACATTGAACAGATCACATCGCCGAGTGTCTCGTGCGGGATGTTTTTGCTCTGCATGCTCCACGTCCGGAGGGCCGCTGCCGGGCCGTTGGGGGCCGTCAGCGGAGAGGCAGCCAAGGATGCAAAACGGCACGCCCGGGGAAGGGTCGCGACCTCTTCAGGAGCAACGAAAGGGGGGGGGGGGGCATAGGCATAGTAGAGGGGGAATGCATCGGCCCCCAAGCGCCCACGCATCGCCGATAGGTGCCCGAAAGCCCCTAACCTGCCTGGGAACGTGCGGATGCTTTATCGGAGGCCCATCGCCGATCTATCGGCGATGTATCGCCGATTCCAGCTCGATGTTTTCCCCCTATGCGTATCCCCCCCCCTATGGTTGCCCCTCACCTCTGGGGGTTCACGCTGCGGAAAAGCACGATGCCGTTGGGGGACCGCCCTCTCCGAAGGAGTCCTCCACAGCGATGCCGATGTGTTTCCCTCGTGCTCTTCTGGGGCCTCCAGGGGGGGGCCTTTCGTCGCGACGGCTGCGTTCGCCCGGGAGTCCTTGTCAGAACGCGCCCCAGGAGAGGTCCGGGGAGAAGCGGCGTTGTAATCTCTGCTGTGTCCCCCGACCTCCAGCCAGGACCCCCAGGGATGCTCTAAAGGGCCCTCAGAGACCCCCGACAGTCCAAGACAGCCCAAGAGCCGTAATACCACGGGCACGGCACCTCCTTCCCCTCCCTCCCTCTTGGAGGCGGCTGGGGAGGCCTAATCTAGATACGCCCGGAGAAATCGGTCGAGAGGGTGGCAATGAGGGCAAATTCGCTCAGAATCGGTCCGAAGGCCCCTCCTTGGGTCGGAATTGACTTGCTTTTCGACCCGCGTTCAGTCATGGCGACCAGGGGACCCCTTCTCTCTTCGTTCTGCTGGCCAGAACCAGTGCCCAGCCATCTCAGCCCCCCAGGCGGCTCCAATTTCCCTCCCCTCCCTTCTCGCATGCATCATCCGTCACGTAATGCCAGTTCCGCCCTATCTTTACGCGAGGCATGGTCCTTGCATGTCCGACCAGTTCGCCTCGGGCAGTGAAATTAAGCGATCCAGGGGAGGTGTGTGTGTGTGTGTGTGTGTGTGTGGGAGGAGGGCGCCGTTCGTGGTCGGTCGTGCTTGCTCCTGCTCATGAGCACCATCCTCGCCGTCTCTCTCTCTCTCTCTTTCTCTCTCTTTCTTCATTTCATTTATTTTGTTTTCGCTCTCACTCTCTCACGCGCTCGCTCGCTCTCTTTTTTTCTCTCTCTCTCTCTCTCTCTCTCTCTCCCTCTCTCTGCCATCCCATGGGCCATCAATCTTGCACCAGTGCCTGCGATGGTTCCCTCCCTCACGTGCCTCACGGAGCAGAGTCCCCACCAACCGACCATCCCTCTCGCCATCCGCCGCCCTTTTGGTTGGCCAGCGCACGTCGGCGACTCTTCCCTGACGTGGCGACGGGGGGAGGAGGAGGAGGAGGAGGAGGAGGAGGAGGAGGAGGAGGAGGAGGAGGAGGAGAGGAGAGGAGGAGGAGGAAGAGGAGGAGAGGAGGAGAGGAGGAGGAGGGAGGAGGAGGAGGAGGGAGGAGGAGGGAAAAAGGGGGAGGGGAAGGCGAGGCACCGGCGCGCGCCGCCCGGAGCTGGGAGCACTCTGATCCCCTGGCACGCTCGACCCGAGTCGGGAAGGCACTGCGTGGAGCGGGGGGGGGGGGGGAGCAATGGGAAAGAGGGGCAGCACGAGGGAGGGAAAGAGGAAGCACGAGGGAGGGAAAGAAGGGCAGCACGAGGGAGGGAAAGAGGGGCAGCAAGGGGGGGAGCAAAAGGGAAAGAGGGGCAGCACGAGGGAGGGAAAGAGGAAGCACGAGGGAGGGAGTAAGGGGAAGGACTCGTGGAGCGTGGAGCGGGGGGGGGGGGAGGAGGAAGGCAATGGGGGAAGCACGAGGGAGGGTGCAGGCCTGGGGGAGAGGAGGGCGCCGGGGCCGCCGCCGCGGCGCGCGGTGCGCACCGGTGCCTGAGCGCACGAGGTGGTCAAGTCCAGGCGGAGAGGCCCCTCGGCCTTGGCCTCTGCAACGGGGGTCGACTCCAGGGGCCCGGCAACGGGCCCCACGTTGCCGGGCCCCAGAGTTCAGTCGGGCCCGTCCCTCCACAGAGGGAAGATTCAACAGTAGTCAAAAAATAGTCTGGGGACTATTTGTTGAGTATGTTTTAGCTATCTGTGAGCATTTGTTGAGTATGTTTTTTATTGTTCGTCCAACATCCTCCTGTAGGGGGACACGCCCGACTGAACCCCAGAGGCCATCAAAAGCAGACCCGCGGCGAAAAACTGCCTCTGGGGAAGGGGTCGGGTCCTCCTTGGGGCCGCGCATTGGAAGAAACGCATCGTCGGATATTTGGGTTCGGTGATGGACGCCAGGGCGGCCAAGGGGGTGAGGTTCGAGCGTCCCCAACTCGGCACGATCGGCAACTATGCACAAGTTCCTGACCGTATGATGTTTTGAAATCCCGGCGCATGTTCCTCGAACTCGGCCTGTGGGGCCTGGAGTTTGAAAAGCGTGTTGCCGTAGCAACACGCTATCCAGCAACA